GCGATCACAGCTCCCTACACAGCTCCGAACAGAGCTATGCCAATGGCTCTCGGAGAGAAAAAGCGAGGCCCTCATCGGCAAGGCAAATTGGAGGTCACGAGCAACCCCAATGGCTCTCGGAGAGCAAATTAAGGGATCCCCCACGAAGCCGCCGTGGCGATCCGCAAGTGCAGAGTCCGCAATGGCAACATAGTGCAATAGCGAGGCCCTCATCGGAGCTCGCTTCTGCCGCCAAGACAAGCTTTAAGTAAATTGCAGCTCCCTACACAGCTCCGACCAAGCACCCAACCCAAGCTTTAAGTAAATCGGAGGTCACGAGCAACTAACCTGGCCGTGCGGAACGATTTTTGACGCAGGCAGACGAGGACGTCCTAGTCGGGCAGCGGTCCGCTCCGCCGCCGCCGCCGCCCACGCAAGGCCTCCGCCGCCGCCGCCGGCGATCACAGCTCCCTACACAGCTCCGAACAGGTTTCTACCGCCACGCAATGCCTCCGCCGCCGCCGCCGCCGCCGCTCAGCCGCCGCCGCCGCTCTGAGCCGCCACCGCCGCCGCCGCCGCCGCCGCAGCCGCCGCCGCCGCCGCCGGCGATCACAGCTCCCTACACAGCTCCGAACAGGGTTTACGCAAGGCCGCCGCCGCCGCCGCCGCTGCCGCCGCCGCCGCCGCTGCCGCCGCCCCGTTTACGCAAGGCCGCCGCCGCCGCCGCTGCCGCCGCCGCCGCCGCTGCCGCCGCCGCCGCCGCTGCCGCCGCCCCCGCCGCCGCCGCCGGCGATCACAGCTCCCTACACACTAGCGCCACGCAAGGCCTCCGCCGCCGCCGCCGGCGATCACAGCTCCCTATACACAGCTCCGAACAGGTTTCTACCGCCACGCAAGGCCTCCGCCGCCGCCGCCGCCGCCGCTCAGCCGCCGCCGCCGCTCTGAGCCGCCACCGCCGCCGCCGCCGCCGCCGCCGCCGCTGCCGCCGCCGCCGCCAGGCGCTACGCACCCCTTAAGGGATCCCCCACGAAGCCGCCGTGGCGATCCGCAAGTGCAGAGTTCGCAATGGCAACATCACCCCTTAAGGGATCCACGCTGCAAAACCAGTGGTGGGCAGGCGCCTGTGTGGCGAAGTGACCTTGGCCCCAATGAGCGCTGGTGAGCGCCTAGGACGGCCACGGCAGGGTCTAGACCTCGCTTCTGCCGCCGAAATTTTCTACAAAGCTCCGAACAAGTTTGACGCTTGATGCAACGAAGGAGAACAGTGCTACAGCTCCGCCACACGTGGCCAGTGCCGAGCGATCACAGCTCCCTACACAGCTCCGAACAGGGTTAGACCTCGCTTCTGCCGCCGAAATTTTCTACAAAGCTCCGAACAAGTTTGACGCTCAGTGCCGAGCGATCACAGCTCCCTACACAGCTCCGAACAGAGCTATGCCAATGGCTCTCGGAGAGCAAAAGCGAGGCCCTCATCGGCAAGGCAAATTGGAGGTCACGAGCAACCCCAATGGCTCTCGGAGAGCAAAAGCGGGGATCCCCCACGAAGCCGCGGCCCGTGGTGATCCGCAAGTGCACAGCTCCGAACAAGCACCAAGTGCAGAGCAGCACGCTCAAATGGATCTCGGAGAGCGGCCCAGTGGTGCCCGCCGCCGCCGCTGACCAGGGTAATGGGCGGTCACTTAAGGAGGCTAGAGCTCGGTGTACCGGAAGCCGCCGGGGATCCCCCACGAAGCCGCCGTGGCGATCCGCAAGTGCACAGCTCCGAACAAGCACCAAGTGCAGAGCAGCACGCTCAAATGGCTCTCGGAGAGCGGCCCAGGGGTGCCCGCCGCCGCCGCTGACCAGGGTAATGGGCGGTCACTTAAGGAGGCTAGAGCTCGGTGTACCGGAAGCCGCCGGGGATCCCCCACGAAGCCGCCGTGGCGATCCGCAAGTGCAGAGTTCGCAATGGCAACATAGGGCAATAGCGAGGCCCTCATCCGCCGCTCAGAGACCTGCGCAGGTCTCTGAGCCGCCACCGAGTGCAGAGCAGCACGCTCAAATGGCTCTCGGAGAGCGGCGCAGTGGTGCCCGCCGCCGCCGCTGACCAGGGTAATGGGCGGTCACTTAAGGAGGCTAGAGCTCGGTGTACCGGAAGCCGCCGGGGATCCCCCACGAAGCCGCCGTGGCGATCCGCAAGTGCACAGCTTCGAACAAGCACCAAGTGCAGAGCAGCACGCTCAAATGGCTCTCGGAGAGCGGCCCAGTGGTGCCCGCCGCCGCCGCTGACCAGGGTAATGGGCGGTCACTTAAGGATGCTAGAGCTCGGTGTACCGGAAGCCGCCGGGGATCCCCCACGAAGCCGCCGTGGCGATCCGCAAGTGCAGAGTTCGCAATGGCAACATAGGGCAATAGCGAGGCCCTCATCGGAGCTCGCTTCTGCCGCCAAGACAAGCTTTAGGGTGTGCAAGTGAGGAGGTCCCCAAGGGCCCACGGCCGGGAGCGACTCTCGCCACGTCAAGCTTGACGCTCAGTCCTACCGTGAACTGACGTCCTAGTAGGGTCCCAGCAAGGAGCCTGTGGCGAAGGAAAGAGAGGCCGTATAAGGCTCTTGAATACAGAATGCTATTCCTGCCAGTAATCTTGATTTCTCTTATACTTCCTCTTATAATTTATAATATAATTGCCCTTATGATTTCTTTGAATTATTATTAAATAAAGCCGAACTTGTATCTGACGAATTCATTCACTTAAGGAGGCGAGTTTTAGTCTTCTGGTTGATGCAAGTGAATTGCATGGGTGCAAGTGAAAGAGGAAGAGCATCAGGGTCCGCTGGGACCCCATGGTGGAGGTGGGTGCAAGGATCCTGGTTCCGGAGAACGATCACAGCTTTTGTAGACAGCTCCTGGCTCTGGGCTGTGAGGACGGCCAGACGAGGGTCTGGCTCTGGAGAGCGGCGAACAAGCACCGTTGCAGCAGACCAGGGTCCAACCCCGAGGCTGCACCCTGGGCCCTGCCGTCCTAGGGTCCCAGCCCAAGGAGCCTGGGTCCTGTGCACCCAGGGCCCTAGGCCCCAGCAGACCCCTGGGCCCAGGAGCCTAGGCCCCAGGGCCCTAGGCCCCAGGGCCCTAGGCCCCAGGGCCCTAGGCCTAGGGCCTGGCACGAGCAACCCGGCCCAGTCCTAGGCCGGCCCTTGATGGCCATGGAAAGGAAAGAGAGGCCGTATAAGGCTCTTGAATACAGAATGCTATTCCTGCCAGTAATCTTGATTTCTCGTATACTTCCTCTTATAATTTATAATATAATTTCCCTTATGATTTCTTTGAATTATTATTAAATAAAGCCGAACTTGTATCTGACGAATTCATTCACTTAAGGAGGCGAGTTTTAGTCTTCTGGTTGATGCAAGTGAATTGCATGGGTGCAAGTGAAAGAGGAAGAGCATCAGGGTCCGATGGGACCCCATGGTGGGGGTGGGTGCAAGGATCCTGGTTCCGGAGAACAGTGCTACAGCTCCGCCACACGTGGCCAGTGCCGAGCGATCACAGCTCCCTACACAGCTCCGAACAGAGCTATGCCAATGGCTCTCGGAGAGCAAAAGCGAGGCCCTCATCGGCAAGGCAAATTGGAGGTCACGAGCAACCCCAATGGCTCTCGGAGAGCAAAAGCGGGGAACCCCCACGAAGCCGCGGCCCGTGGTGATCCGCAAGTGCACAGCTCCGAACAAGCACCAAGTGCAGAGCAGCACGCTCAAATGGCTCTCGGAGAGCGGCCCAGTGGTGCCCGCCGCCGCCGCTGACCAGGGTAATGGGCGGTCACTTAAGGAGGCTAGAGCTCGGTGTACCGGAAGCCGGACGCTTGATGCAACGAAGGAGAACAGTGCTACAGCTCCGCCAAACGTGGCCAGTGCCGAGCGATCACAGCTCCCTACACAGCTCCGAACAGAGCTATGAACCTGCCACGATGTGGCCAGTGCCGAGTGCTCACACTGCTTGAGCAATGATCCTGAATTGCAGCTCCCGAGACAGAGCTCCGAACAAGCACCAACCTCGGGGTTGAGAAAGCTTAAATGGCTCTCGGAGAGCGGCCCAGTGGTGGCAGGCCCGCCGCCGCCGCTGCTCTCGCAGAGCGGCCCTACACAGCTCCGAACAAGCACCAAAATGGCTCTCGGAGAGCGGCCCTACACAGCTCCGACGCTCAGTCCTAAGCCGTGAACTGACGTCCTAGTAGGGTCCCAGCAAGGAGCCTGTGGCGAAGGAAGAGGACGGCCAGACCAGGGTCCTGGCAGTGCAGGGTTCACGAGCACCCCCGAGGCTCCAGGCCCAGTCCTAGGCCGGCCCTTGATGGCCATGGAAAGGAAAGAGAGGCCGTATAAGGCTCTTGAATACAGAATGCTATTCCTGCCAGTAATCTTGATTTCTCTTATACTTCCTCTTATAATTTCTTATATAATTTCCCTTATGATTTCTTTGAATTATTATTAAATAAAGCCGAACTTGTATCTGACGAATTCATTCACTTAAGGAGGCGAGTTTTAGTCTTCTGGTTGATGCAAGTGAATTGCATGGGTGCAAGTGAAAGAGGAAGAGCATCAGAGTCCGCTGGGACCCCATGGTGGGGGTGGGTGCAAGGATCCTGGTTCCGGAGAACGATCACAGCTTTTGTAGACAGCTCCTGGCTCTGGGCTGTGAGGACGGCCAGACGAGGGTCTGGCTCTGGAGAGCGGCGAACAAGCACCGTTGCAGCGGCCCAGCTGACCATGGGCTGTGAGGACGGCTTGACCAGGGTCCAACCCCGAGGCTGCACCCTGGGCCCTGCTGTCCAGGGTCCCAGCCCAAGGAGCCTGGGTCCTGCGCAGGCCCCCTAAACCCTAAACCCTAAACCCTAAACCTTTCCCTGGTTATGAGGGGAGAGCACGGGCTGGCCTGAAGGCGTTCCCGCATCTCCCAACGAAGTCCGCATGCCACGTCCTCGAGACCCGGTCGGGCCACCTTCCGAAGCACTGCCTGTTTTAGGCGGCTCCCTCAAGAATCACTACCTACCTCGATGCGCCACGCTGCCTCCCGGAGGCATTCGCCAGGTCTGTTAGACTGGGCAATGTCCAATAACACCTTGAGCGTAGAAGACAGGTTTGGCATCCGCGGTCTGTACAAAAGGCCCTTCTTCCCAACATTGGTACTGCCACACAACTCCAGCGTTCGCAGCCTATGGTGCCGTGGACTGGGCCACAGCGCACAGCCACACTTCTTGCTCAGCATGCCCACACTGGAGACAAAGTGTACGATGAGCTCCCTCAGCACCGCAGGTAACAGGATGCCTGCGGGTCTGAGCAAACTCACCCATTCAGAGGCCCCAGTCGAATGCAATCGAACCGGTGGCAAAACTGCGGTAGTGACCACAAAGTTCACCAGGAGTTCATGATAAGTGATGCCCGCAAAATCCGTATCCTCAGGTAAAGAGCTCGGCCAGCACAATTGTTCGATCCAGCCACCAAGAGCTACAGTATACCAGTCAGGCCAGGAACTCACAGCCCTGACAGCCTCACGGGGCCAAGTGACCGTGGTGGGGCACCGGTGCAGCGGTGGCTGAAGAAGACACCAGGAGTCATGACAAGCAGGTGCTTCCATCTCAACCGTCGATGTGAGAAGAAGCTGGGAGCGTTTCGCTGGAACCACAATCTTCGTCAGCTCGGCGAGATAGCGACAGTACATGTCGAAAAAACTTGCCTGTTGTTGGTGCCAGTCAGCAATTTGTTGACACTGGTCATGAGCTAGTTCAAGGTCATCACAGAGGGCTTGCTTCGCTGCAGCGTCAACGATTGCGTTCCCTAAAGCCGGAAGGAGGTCCTCGTCCGCTGCAGACTGCAACAGCTGGTGCAAATCTTGATGTGACTTGACCTTCCTGACACTAACCCCAGCAAGGAGATGAGGCAGGTCATCCGGGACCAAGTCTGACGCGAAATGCCACCGGCCCGGCGAAACGCCCTGCGGTCCAGGCGGACTGACGGCCCGTTGGGCATTCTTGGAGTCCGTCCATATGACGACGTCAGCAACCGGCAGCGCCCGCACCACCATCAGGGCTTGAACCAATGCACAATACTCGGCTCGATTGATGTCCTGGCATCCTGGAACAACGCCCTGAGCCACTACATGCCAACCCGGTGGGATTTGGGCATGTTGGCACCAAAAGAAGCCCGTCTCCCTCAGAGTCATACAAGCAGAACCAGTGTACAAGACCACGGCCCAGGCTGCGTGGCGAGCTGCAGGGAGGTTCGGCCGCGAGCAGGCCCCATCTGTGAAGAGATGCGCCGTGGTGAGCCCCTCAAGGCAAAGGTGCGGCAGCACTGGTGGCGGGACCAGTTTGCGGCTATGCCAGAAAAGGCGCAGAAAATCTTCAGCGTCAAGTGCAACCGGAAAAGGGCAATGGAACCAGTGGGGTTGGTCTTGCTCAATCCAGTCGAGGAGAGGCTGGTAGAGTTGGCGGAGGGGAGCTGCAACGGGACACTCCAGGATGCGATGCCGCTTGTGATCCACCATCCCACAGAGGACACAGCTCGAGGACTGCAGAGGATCCCATGTGGACTTAGCCGCATTAGACAGGAAGCCACCAACCATAGTCTGCGCCAGATGTATCTGCATGCCAGGACCGAATCGCAACAGCACTTTTTCAGTGATGCAGGGGGCAGGGACACCTGCAAACAGCATCCCATTCCTGCCCTGGACCTTAGAGGGGACCTGAGCAAGCCAGGCGACCTTGACTGCACGGCGTAAGACCTTGGGACGGTCACGCAAGAGATGTACCTTAGCATTGCCCGGGCCCGCAAGATTCCCGTCAGCTCGAAGACACCATCCGTTTCTGACTAGTAGCCCGGCAAGTGCCGTGGCTGGACCAAAGACCCTGCCCGGTTGGTGCAGGTGGTGAACAGTAAGACGAAGCCACTCCATCCCCAAGAGAGGTTGCAGGCACAACATCCGTTGCAGGGCCAGCAGCGCTTGGCACAACAGGTAAACTTCGGGATCAGACACCCTCGGAGTCAGGGCAGACAAAGCGAGCGTAGGATTTGCAGAACGGCGGGGACCCAGAAGGGCCTCACATCCCCCGGTGCGCAGCTTACTGACCTCATCCTCGCTCAAAAGGCGGCTCTCGAGCCCGTACAAAGTAGCCGGCCAAACACTAGTCTGCAGTATACGCGCCTTATCGAACAGAGGGATAGCAGGATTTCGCAGGGCACGGAGGCGTCGATGTCCCTCCTCCAAACGATGGCGGGCACTGTTCAGAGCATTGTTCCGCCGGAACTTGAAGGCAATACCCAGATCCTTGGCGTAGTGCACAATGGTCAGCTGACACCCCTGGGGTATCAAGCTCTGTGCAGGCCCGGTAAGCCAGCGGCGAAGCTTGCTGCATGTAGCCCATGCAAAGGACTTAGTCCAATCAATGGGGAGCTTGAGGGAAAGGCAAAAGGCCTGCGCATCAGTTATCGACTCGGCCATAGCCAGCTGGTCGCGACCAGTCCATGTCAAGTTATCGACATACGAAACCATCTCAGCGCCGAAAACCGACTGACGAGACTGCGCTGCCCAGCACACTGCAACTTGTGCAAGCACGGAAAGAGGGCAACCCTCTGGCATGCCAGTCGTCGAGAGCACCGGTGGGCCGAGGCATTTATGGAAGACAGGTAATCTGTGGCAGCTGTCAAGGAAATCAAACCAGGGCTCCAACACTGTCTCCGGGATTTGCAAGTGGCCGAGCAAAAACCTCAGAGGGAGACGAGGAAGCTGGTTGAAGCACTTGATCACATCGATGGAGAAACCAGCGAATGCATCTCCTGACAACAGGGACTGTTCGACCTGAAGCTCCAGGGACAGAGAGAGGTCCCGAACGGATCGGCCCGGAATGCTGCCCATGACTCCAGACGGAAGCCAGGTCGCCCACTGTCGGAGGACAGCCGTAGCAACCCCGGACGCCCACAGGCGCCATAAGTTGGCAAAGATGGTGATCGGTCTCCCATGCTTCATGCCCATCGGCAACGGTATTTTGGCAAGAGTAGACACGGTGGCTCTAGCAAGATGGCGCGGCCAGCCATACTTGGCACACAGCTGAAAAATGGAGGCCAGGTCCTGCAAGGGTGCATCAGGCAACCATTTCAATTCCTGGTTCGAAAAGCCACAATAGCCGGTGGCACTATGAGGCTTCAGACGTCGGAGATGCTGGCGCCAAAAGCTCAGGTCCTCCAATGCAAGCTCAAGCTGAGACGCAGCCTCCGGGCAGGGCGGGAGAGACTCAATGAAAGTAGACCACCTCTGTAAATCACTCCGGGCTTCCCCAGTATCACGGTTCCAGATCGGATGCCAGTAATCAATGAAGCAACGGTGGAGTTCCCGGGCAGTGGAAGCATCAGTGTCCTGGCGTAAAATGAAATTTTCAAGATAAGGGCGGCTGGGAACACGGACCCAAATTCGGGGACCAAAAATTTCATCATTGTGCAGGGCACCGGTCTCAGCGGGGCAGTCGTCAGCCTTGGCCGGGCAATTTGGACGAATGAAGTCCGGTGCAGTAACCCGGTACAGACCCCATCCACCAGGAGCACAACATTGCAAAACAGCTTGCTGAGCCTCAGCAACAGGAACAGATGTGAAGGCCGGTTTGTCCGGAGGGCGCACCGACCTGTAGCCTGCGCGAAGGCCGTTTGCGGAGTCCTGTTGCGTCCGATAACGGTGGAATTGTTGCCGGGCCTGATGCTCCTGTCCAATGACAGCCTCACACTCAAACTTGACAAAGGCAAGCACGTCCGCCAACCAATCAGCAGGTGGGAAAATGGCTAGCTGCACAAGATTGCCCTGAGGGGGAGCAGGCAGAGGCACCTCATAGAAAACCTCAAAATGTGCAATCTGAAGCAACCACTGGCGGAAGTTTGGCGGATAGCCGTGGGCCTGAGCAATCGCCTCCCATTCTTGCCACAAGGAAAAGGCCGCTGGCTGCGGGAGGCAACCAGGTGTGGGGGCCAGTTGGGAGCTCAAGCGGAAACGGGCCAGGCGGCGGCAGAAGCTTTGCAAACGACGCACCTGCTTAACCTTATGGCGGGAACGAAAGGACAATGCTTCATCCGGCGGGCGATAGTCACCCGGGCGGGCCCCTGGGGCAGCAGTGGGCAGTGCCTTTGATTTCACTTCCCGATAAACACACCGGCCTTGACAACGCCTCGGAAGTTCCTTGGAAGGGCAGCGGAGAGGATCCTGAAAGTGGGCATCCCGGATCGCCTGGCTCACGGCAGACTCAACGTCACTTGCCCAAGTCGAGAAAATGGCTTCAAGATCATCGCGGGAGGAACACTCCTGAAAAAGTTGCGCCAACCCTTGGCGACAGTGGCCGTAGTGGGTCTCAACGACCTGGGCATCCGGCTCAAATTGCATCCAGCTATCCGGTTTGCGCCAGAGCGTCTGGCACGGGTTCTGCTGGGGCAAAAGAAAAGTCAAGGTGAGCGGAGCATGCGAATCAAACAAGTGACAGGCGGTATCAACCTTGGCAGTTTGAAAGAGCTGCTGAAAGACCCTGGGGAGGAGCACCGTATCATTCCTGGTACTGTCACGGCAGGTGGGCGGCAAGCGCTGGCCGAAGCGCAGATGATGAAAATCAAACAGTTCAGCATAGCCAGCCCTGACAAAGTCACACCACACCGGGAGGCTCTTGACATCAACATTGAAGTCCCCACCGACGAGTGTGGGCATCTCGGAAGCCGATATCAACTTAAGGGCCTCTCGAAAGAGCTCCTCGTTTTTGGCAGCAGCAGCTGCGTGATTCGCGGGCCAACCATAAAGGACAAGCACTCTGGCATGGAGCGGGCCCAACCGAATGTGCCCCAGCACCAGACGATGGGCCTGTTCAGCAGGTGAGCACAACGGCGCAAACGGCGGGCGCACGGGAAAAACCGAAGCCAGGGCAACTCCGGCAGCACAACCCCGCAGAGACGGCTGATGGGCATTCTCATGACGATGCTCCGGCACTGGCGTGCCCCAAACCCAACTGAGCCCAGTGGGGCGAAGGCGGCCTGTGACAATGTCCTGGGCACGGGATACGGCCGAGGTCTCAGACAACAGGAAGACATGGCTTTGCAGGGCCAACAGCGAAGACTCCTTATTCAGGATGCTAGTGGGATTGACCACACTGAGGTGCCAGCTCGGGAGGTCACAGGGAGACTCCCGTGCAGTGGAAGTGTCGTCACTGCTCGCCACAGTGGGCTGCGGAGACGTGGGTAGCACAGGCTGATGCGGCTGAAAGAAGGAAGGCAGTTTGCGTTGGGGGCGAGGGCGTCCACCACGCAGGTGGGAATGCACACGGGTGGGAGGGAGCTGCTCTTGTGGCAGCTGCGGAACGGAAGGACAAAGGAAGGCCCGGGGCCGAGGGGCCATCTCAGGCCGATGCAAGGCAGCGCCAGTGAAGGTGTGCGGTGCGGCACTGGGGATTGACGGGCCAGGATGTAAAGCTTCCCCAAAGCGAAAACCCCGGCCCGTGACATAACGGGAGAGGCGTGCTGAGCCTCTCAAAGATGGGAGGACCACATTGATGCCACAACCCCAGCGGTAACTGAGTGGTTCCCATGAAAACAATTTATCATGATCAACATTGGCAACACTTCGGTTGCACTGCGCAGGGCACCTGTGCCAGCGAGCCACTCCCGGGGGCTTCCACAGGTGGGGACTACGCAACCCCCAAAAAACTGAAAACATCGGCTCGCAAAGGGGAGGGAGTCACAGGTCCTCATCGCCCTGTTTTTTGGCCTTCTTGGACGGGTCACGAGAATCCCTGCAGGACATCATCAAGCTCTTAAGCTCCTCGAAACTGGCCTGAGTCTGCTGCTGCTGCTGCTGTTGAGCTCCTCGCAGCGATTCAACTGACAGCTTCAACTGCGCTGCGAATTCGTTGCTCATGAGGCTCATCTGATCGCGCAGCTGCACAGCAGCCTTGGCCGCAGACTCACGATCCTCGGATTGCCGCTGAACAAGCTCACCATGTTGTGCTTCCTGACGAAGGCGCAAGTTCTCAAGACCTTCCTCCAGTGCGAGGAGTCGCGTATCCTGGGCCTGGAACCTGGACTCAGTGGGACCTGCGAGGCTTCGGGAAGGAGTTGCCAGGCTGCCAAAGGAACTGGTAGAGGGGTGGCTCGGAAGGCCAGTGCCATGCGAGGAATGCGCCACAGCCTTGCTCCAAGGATCACTGAAAAGCCATGGGTCCTCGCCCTTTGCAAGAGATTCCTGGGCAACGACAGGCCGCGCGGGGCGGTGGGGCACACTGCCCGATTGCACAATCGGTGGGGCGTCCTGCTTTTGGCCGACTGGCGAGATGAGGATTGTTTGCCCGTTAAAGGCCGGGCACACCGTGGGCGGGGCGGCGGCCGCACCCACCAACCAATGCGTTGCACCCAGACTTTTGATGACGCGAATCTGCCAACCTGCCTTGGTGGCCCATCCAGTGATGGCCTCGCTGCCTACCTCCTGAGGCAAAGGACCGATGCGATACAGTTGGTTCACTGCAATCTTGTTGGGAATGATTTGGCCCGGTTTAAGCGCAGCGAAGACAGCCGGAAAACGGGCAGCCGGAACACGCAGCCCATACTTGTTTTTGGCCCTGGCAATCCCGAGCTGGCCCTGGACCTGGAGAGAAGCCCGAAGAGCCTCGGCCCGACACGCCCCGAGCCAAACAATGGAGTAGGCTTGAACAACCGACTTGTCCATTTTGCGCGGAGTCACATAGACATTGTTATGCCCGCTGAGTATCAAGAGCTGGTCAAGTTGATCGGCTGGCACACGGGCATTGAAGGAGACACGCTCTGCCATACTTGCAACAGCTGGGCGACCTGCCTGGACAAAATGCCTGCCCCACGGATCTGCAAAAGGCTTGGCCATGCCACCTTTCTTGAAAGCTTCAGCAACAGCACGAACAGGGGCTTGCACAATCTGCTGCCAGGTCGGCGCGTCAAACTCATCGGCATAGCAGTCAAAAGTGCAGCAGTTAAGCTCAGGAAGCTCCACGGTCACATCACCGGAGTCCTTCTGCCGTATGCGCTTGCCACCAACATTGTGCAGGCAGCCAGCAAGGAGGAGCTTGGAACCGTTGGCCTTGGAAATTGCTGGGAAGCACAAAGCGCCAGAGCACTCATCCGGGCAAGGACAAGAGTGGCCGAGGACGAGAAGGCCCAATTCATCGGGTTGCACCCCTCTCAAGGTTTGCAGGAGGGCCACTGCCTCAGGCTCGTCCACGAGCTGCAATCCAGAGGCACCTGGCTGAATCATGGTCAGGATGGAAGCCGGGGAACCATCATCATTAACAAAGAAATCCTGCGTCAAACACACTTCCTGAGCACGTACCTGCCGCCGATCCTGGGCCTTGCGGCGTTGCATTGCCTTACCTGCTCGCAAAGAGGCTTTGGCCGGGAGATTGGAGGGCACCGGAGCGGGAACCTTGGCAGTCTCAGCAAGGTCCACCAGGGCTTGCCACTTGGTAGTGGAACCACAATCCTGCAAGGTCTGGGACAGCCTCTGCGCACCCACGGCCGCCGACAATTGATCAACAAACTGAGTCGTTCGGGTGAGGTCAATCCCCTGTGCGAGGCACTCGGAGGCAGTGCGCGTCTGTGCCCAACTAAGATCATCACTTTTGGCCCCGCCTCCCCGCAGCTCAGGGTGGACAGTAATCAGCAAGTGGCCGGTGCGACGCACAACACGGGCAGCAGGGGTGGCATGAATCTCACCCAACGTGGCGGTCGGCACGTGCGGGTGGGGGCCGGAGAAGATCCTGTGGCCCGGTAACAAGTTGCAAATGGCACTGGCAATGTTCCAAATGTCAGTAAAAGTCTGCAAGGGCGTACCGGCCGGAAGCTGGCCTACCCACAGGCGACGAGCAACTACCTGCACCTCCACATCGACTCGACCAGTGTGGGTGGAGTTAGCTAGTGACTCCAAACGGGCGACCACAAGCCACCATCGCCACTGTTCAACGAATAAATCACGCGGCATAGCAACCGATCTGCAGGGCGCCATGCGGAAGACCGAAGGGGCCTGTTCAACAGGTGGGAAGTTCTCCTCCGAGGAGGACCACCCGAATGCATACAACAGGTGAAAAGGCATGCAAAACCACACCTGCGCGGCAACTTCCGCGGCAACCTCCAAAGTGACTTCATTGGCATGGCGGTGCAGCTGCAAGCCATGTAAGTATGGCACCAGGGAACTCAATGCCTGAATCGGAAAGTCCTCATCCTCAGCAACCGCAATCATGCAGGTTTGGAAGTCTGCGGCATGCAGGAGGCGCTGTCCCGTAGTAGAGAACAGCACCAGGGACTCGGAGCCAGGTGCAGCAGCCCGGAAGACACACAGCAGTTGCGACCATGATCGTGCAGTATGCAGTTCAACCACAAAGAGCTGAAAATCAGTAAGCAGCAGAGCCAACCCACTGGCAGAGCCTGATCCGCCAATGGCCCCATTGCAGTTCAGCTCCGGCAACCGAGACACCTGAACAGGGAGTCTTGCAGGGCCAGCACAGACGGGGCCCTGGTATGATGCCGCCGCATCCGGGCAACCGAAGAAGTAGAGCAGATCTCCAATGCCAACGTCAGGTGGGACACACAAGGCATATGTCGTCTCCTGCACATTAAGGCACACTTCCGTGAAAGCCTCAGGCGGATCAGCATGCAATGTTTCGGGACTATGCACAGCATGCACCCTCAGAACCTCGGCAGTTTGGGAGGAATGGCACAGGACCCAGTTGGGCCCAAAAGGCATAAGCACACTATTGCCGTTGTGTAAGCGTGCCTGGAGACACCATGCGACAGCCTCGGCAGGCTCCGGCGCACCTGTGAGGCCAAGGTGGCAACAAGCATGAACAAGGGGTACCATGGCTTGAGGCACTGAGATCGCGTTTCCCAGGAGTCTCATCTGCTGGCGTTGGTCAACCGACAAGAAGATGGGCCGGACCGCCCCATGGATCGAAGCGATTTCCGGTCCCGCGAAAAACCGTATGGTATCACCTTGCCGAAGCAAACAAGCTAAGATGCCCTTTTCCATCTGTGCCGGGGCCAGTTCATGCTGGAATTGATATTGTGCCACAAAGACTCCGGCCGAGTCACAGGCAGAGCGCAATCGGAACTTAGAGGGACTCTGGGGGCGGAGGTGTGGCGAGCGGGGTGCAGGCACATACCAAGGGTCCATGTAGACAGCCAAGACTTCAGCACTAGGGGTGTTAGCCTGACGCAATGGCGGTGGCAGTGCAAAAATAGCTTTGGCCTGGCCCAAGTTGATGCGTCGCCCGGTGGTCCAGGCTCCCATGTTTAGCAGTTTGTTGCCAGTATGGGTGCTATGCAATAGCACAAGGAGGAAGCGCACCCTCTGGCCTGGCAACACGTCCAGTAGGTTCAGGGACGCCTGCCACGCAATCCTGTATCCGGCCCGAGACCATGCCTGCATGACTGCTGCAAAGTGGGGGTGCAAGGGGAAGTTTGCCACTTGTTCCAGCAGGACTACAGGAACCCTGAAAGACCCCAAGATATCCGCTGCTCTCAGAAGCAATTGGCCATCAAGCGATTCAAGGCCCTGTTCGGACCCAGCACTGGACCATGGTTGACATGGTGCAGAAACACACACCAGGTTCACCGGTTTTTTCTGGAACATCCTGAGCCACCAGTTCGTTGTGATGTCTGCGCAAACATGTGTGACCCCTTGACAAGAGGCGTCGTGAAGCTCACTGAGCTGGCTGATCTCCTGCCATGACTCGTGTTGGTAGCGAAGCATCTCAGAGCAAGCCGGATCTACGTCGATGGTCCAGGCAAGATGCACGGGAAAACCATGCCGGTGAAGGATATAGGCCGCTTGCGACCAGCCCGAAAACCCTCCACAGAAGAATTCAGCGATTTCCAAGCTAGTGCCCCGATGGAGCACACATGAAGACACAACCACTGAATCAATGCCCAGGCAATCAAGGATGTATTCTGACTGCTGCATGACAAGGCGAGCTTGAATAATGCGTAGCGGGCCTGTGCAGTCAGAAACAGCTTCCCAGTCCGCCCGACGAAGCAACAAGACGACCTTCTTGGCCGTGGCTGTTTCCGGAGCCTCGTCATCGCCTAGCGCAACCAGAGCCCTGATCATCACCCGATCAGCCTGAAAGACAGGCTCCTGAAAAGGTGCAGCAAGAATGTTCACCGTTTGACCCTCCATGACCGGACTCAACTGCTTCGCCACCGACAAGAGACGATCCCAATCCAGCTGAAAAGCATCAATGTTAGAGACAACCATGGCTCAGTCAGCACCCTTCTACACGAAGGGCAACGGCACCGCCCCGAGTAGGCCTGAGCCGAAGTGCTCCTAAACCCTAAACCCTAAACCCTAAACCCTAAACCCTAAACCCTAAACCCTAAACCCTAAACCCTAAACCCTAAACCCTAAACCCTAAATTTTAAGGGCTTCGCCCGTGTGCGCCAGCGCATTTTGGGTCATAGCTTCCGAAGCGACGACCCACCATTAGTTGCGAAAACGCACCTGAACTTAGTCCAAGCCTTCGGCCGTGTTCGCCTTTAATTGCAGGAGAGCAGAGGAGGGCCGTGTACCTTATGTTGGCTCCTCATTGATGTAGAGGAGAGGAGGGCTATGTACCTTACGTTCGCCCTTAATTGAAGGAGAGCAGAGGAAGGTCCTGTACCTTATGTTCGCCTTTAATTGGAGGAGAGCAGGGCCGTGCACCTTATGTTCGCCCTTACTCACGAAGAAGAACAGAGGAAGCTACTGTACCTTATGTTCGCCCTTAGGTGAATGAGAGCGGAGGAGGGCAGTGTTCCTTATGTTCGCCCTTAATTGGAGGAGAGCAGAGGAGGGCCATGTACCTTATGTTCGCTCTTAACTGAAGAAGAGCAGATGAAGCTACAGTACCTTATGGTCGCTCTTCATTGTAGGAGAGCAGAGGAGGGCCGTGTACCTTATTATGCTCACTAAGTGAAGGAGAGCAGAGGAGGGCCATGTACCTTATGTTCGCCCTGAATTGAAGGACAGCAGAGGAAGGCCGTGTACCTTACATATGTTCGCCCTTAATTGACGTAGAGGAGAGGAGGGCCATGTACCTTACGTTCGCCCTTAATTGAAGGAGAGCAGAGGAAGGTCCTGTACCTTATGTTCGCCCTTTATTTGAAGAGGAGCAGAGGAGGGCCGCGTACCTTATGTTCGCCCTTAATCGAAGAAGAGCAGAGGAAGCTACTGTACCTTATGTTCGCCCTTTGGTGAATGAGAGCGGAGGAGGGCAGTGTTCCTTATGTTCGCCCTTAATTGGAGGAGAGCAGAGGAGGGCCATGTACCTTATGTTCGCCCTGAATTGATGGAGAGCACGAATATACCGTGTGTTCGCCGTGTCTGGAGAACCACTGAGGAAACATAGTTCGCCCATATCTATGTACTTGCCCAGGCGGCTTCCCACTTGAACAGTTACCGCAGGCTTCTCTGTACCTTAGGCTCACCCTTAATTGAACGCTACGGTGATGTGCCATGTACCTTATGTTCGCCCTTAATCGAAGAATACAGCGAACGGGCCCATAGTGCCAGCCAATGCGTATTATGCCGTTTGCACGTTGTCTTTTGCACAAGCGTGGTTGGTGGCTAGCTCCTTCGCCTGTTGCTTTGGTGCTACCCTGAGTCTAGCTGCCATGGTCGATGACCGAGCTGTGGTCCGCTATCTGACGCGCTGTCGTGGTTTGCCTGCGCTGGCATGCAAGAGGGCTCCGAACTGCGTTGGATGCAGAAGCTGTGGCCAATTCTTGGAGAGCATCGTTACAGCAACCGCTCTCCACTTCGATGATGAGGATCCGCCTTGGCAGGTTATCCATGACCTCCTGATGCAAGACTTCCAGCTGTGGACGGCTGTGTGCGAACGCGGCCAAAAGCGTCACCGCTGGAGGCAATTCCTCCTTGGCGTCATTGGCCCGCTCCCACCGCCTCATCCTGGGAAAGAGGTCATCGAAAAGATCCACAAAGCTAGGATGGCTATGACCATGAGATTGAATGTCCGGAAGCGCGTGCGCCGGTCGCCAGGGGAAGCTCTCGACTTGAGCGCTCATCTGCCATTCACTGCACAGTCGCGAGCTGTTCCGGGATGACGAGGATAGCTGACCCGTCGGCTGCTTCGCTCGCAACAAATCATGTTTTGTGCTTTTTGCCGGGTGCCTTGTCACTGTTCTTCATCTTGCCATGGGCTCTGCGCTGAGATCCGTCAAGCCTAATTCCCCTGAGGCCAAGTTGGGCCTCTCGAAGCTTGAAGAAAAAGTAAAAAGCCTACCTATGAACGGGCGAGCAACCGTAAGCACGAAGTCGGACACGGCCCAAAGTCCTAAAATTTAAAAACCAATGCCACAACACCAACGAACATAGCCGAATCGTTTATATGCCATACGAAAAAATTGCGTAAAAGAACCAAGTAGGTTTCTGCCAAAGAGGTTCCGCGGGCATCGTCCTGCTGCTAGACCCGATCAGGGGACCCGATCGATTTCAAGTTTACAAGCGACCCCATCGAAGTTTGTTCGGTTGAAGCGGGGAACCCGGTCAATTCCGGGCTTGCTCCTGAACCGGTATGTCCAGAGGTGGCAGCTAGCGGAAAGGCGAACACCGAGTTTGAAACCTGCCCATCTCGCAGTGACTTCGGCGCATCCGCCCAATGTTGAACCGCGAATTTGCGCTGCGGGGTCGACCCCTCTAAAGTTTTCAAAGCAGTGTTTCGGCGATGAATTTGCCTGGGCGCCAAGCTGCGCTGGCGGACCCTAAACCCTAAACCCTAAACCCTAAACCCTAAACCCTCAAGACCAGGATAAATAGAAATTGTTTGATTTGACGTGCGTGGCCCCATCAATTTTGCTGTGCTTTCAACGTTTCACGAACAGAATGCAAGCACAGAAACGAAAGTTGAAGAAACAAAGGTGTTTCCGCAGTGCTTCGACTGGGATTGTGCTTCCGGGAATCTGTCTCCGCGTTCGTGTGTCCGGTGCCACTTTATGCTTCCCCTAGGCACCAGAATGGCAAAAACAAGGGCTTTTGGCCGGTTTTGCTGATTTTGGGACATCGCCAAATTTTGATGCAATTTGGGCTTTCCCAAGGCTGCCAAAATAGCAAAACAAGGGCTTTTTGGCATATGTTGCGGATTTGGGAATTCGCCAAATAGCCAATTTTCGTGATTTTGAGCCAATTTGAGCTTTTCGAAGGGCTGCCAAAATAGTCAAAATAAGGGCTTTTTGGCCTTTTTTGCGGATTTGGAAAATCGCCAAATAGCCAATTTTCGTGATTTTGAGCCAATTTGGGCTTTCCCAAGGACCAAAATAGCAAAAATAAGGGCTTTTTGGCCTATTTTGCGGATTTGGGAAATCGCCAAATGGCAAATATTCGTGATTTTGAGCCAATTTGGGCTTTCCGAAGGGCTGCCAAAATGGCCAACATAAGGGCTTTTTTGCATGTTTTGCGGATTTTGGGAAATCGCCAAATGGCCAATTTTCGTGATTTTGAGCCAATTTGGGCTTTCCGAAGGGCTGCCAAAATAGCTAAAATAAGGGCTTTTTGGCACATTTTGCGGATTCTGGGAAATCGCCAAATAGCCAATTTTCGTGATTTTGAGCCAAATTGGGCTTTCTCAAGGGCTGGCAAAATGGCAAAAACAAGGGCTTTTGGGCTTATCTTGCGGATTTGGGAAATCGTGATTTTGATCCAATTTGGTCGAATTTTCGTGATTTTGATCAACTTTGGGCTCTCCCAAGGGCTGCCAAAACAGCCAAAACAAGGGCTTAAAGCAAAAGGCAAAACCCGCCCAAAACCCGGTCAAAACTCCGGACCTGAACCCTAAACAATTTCTATAAACCCTAAACCCTAAACCCTAAACCCTAAACCCTCAAGACCAGGATAAATAGAAATTGTTTGATTTGACGTGCGTGGCCCCATCAATTTTGCTGTGCTTTCAACGTTTCACGAACAGAATGCAAGCACAGAAACGAAAGTTGAAGAAACAAAGGTGTTTCCGCAGTGCTTCGACTGGGATTGTGCTTCCGGGAATCTGTCTCCGCGTTCGTGTGTCCGGTGCCACTTTATGCTTCCCCTAGGCACCAGAATGGCAAAAACAAGGGCTTTTGGCCGGTTTTGCTGATTTTGGGACATCGCCAAATTTTGATGCAATTTGGGCTTTCCCAAGGCTGCCAAAATAGCAAAACAAGGGCTTTTTGGCATATGTTGCGGATTTGGGAATTCGCCAAATAGCCAATTTTCGTGATTTTGAGCCAATTTGAGCTTTTCGAAGGGCTGCCAAAATAGTCAAAATAAGGGCTTTTTGGCCTTTTTTGCGGATTTGGAAAATCGCCAAATAGCCAATTTTCGTGATTTTGAGCCAATTTGGGTTTTCCCAAGGACCAAAATAGCAAAAATAAGGGCTTTTTGGCCTATTTTGCGGATTTGGGAAATCGCCAAATGGCAAATATTCGTGATTTTGAGCCAATTTGGGCTTTCCGAAGGGCTGCCAAAATGGCCAACATAAGGGCTTTTTTGCATGTTTTGCGGATTTTGGGAAATCGCCAAATAGCCAATTTTCGTGATTTTGAGCCAATTTGGGCTTTCCGAAGGGCTGCCAAAATAGCTAAAATAAGGGCTTTTTGGCACATTTTGCGGATTCTGGGAAATCGCCAAATAGCCAATTTTCGTGATTTTGAGCCAAATTGGGCTTTCTCAAGGGCTGGCAAAATGGCAAAAACAAGGGCTTTTGGGCTTATCTTGCGGATTTGGGAAATCGTGATTTTGATCCAATTTGGTCGAATTTTCGTGATTTTGATCAACTTTGGGCTCTCCCAAGGGCTGCCAAAACAGCCAAAACAAGGGCTTAAAGCAAAAGGCAAAACCCGCCCAAAACCCGGTCAAAACTCCGGACCTGAACCCTAAACAATTTCTATAAACCCTAAACCCTAAACCCTAAACCCTAAACCCTCAAGAACAGGATAAATAGAAATTGTTTGGTTTAACGTGCATGGCCCCATCAATTTTGCTGTGCTTTCAACGTTTCACGAACAGAATGCAAGCACAGAAACGAAAGTTGAAGAAACAAAGGTGTGTCTGCAGTGCTTCGACTGGGATTGTGCTTCCGGGAATCTGTCTCCGCGTTCGTGTGTCCGGGGCCAATATATGCTTCCCCTAGGGCACCAAAATGGCAAAAATAAAGTTTTTTTTTTGCCAATTTTGCGGATTTGGGAAATCGCCAAATAGCAAATTTTCGTGATTTTGAGCCAATTTGG